CTTCACTTACTCTGAGTTCCATTGCTACAGTTTCTGACTGATCAGTAAGTTATCTCCTGCTGACTTCACCGTGCAGCATAAAATCGTAGGTTAGCAGCACCTACCTTGGCCATTTTGGAGAATACTAGTCTCCATTTTAGAGAATTAACTGACATTGTTTGCATGAGGTGATCCAGGTTTCATAAAAATATGAAAATACTGCTTTATGGTAACATAAGGATTTATGTGATTCATTTTTTTAACAGATTTAGAGGCTGGATTAATCCATTAATTCAAATTGCATTTAGAAAAGTATTTTTTCCTCACCTCCCTATTAATTAAATAGACAAGCTCTTCAGAGCAAGATTATAATGTAGGTGCTCTGAACTCCTGGTTTCTCTTTGATTCTCAAGGAAACCTAGATGCTGCAAATTAGGCAATGTGATTAGCTCCTTAAGGAGGATCATATTTGGTTTAATAATATAAAGTAATTTGAAATAAATGCCTCATAGTAATGTAAAGGCTTTTAATCACAGTGACTGAAAGGCTATTGCTAGCAGAGTTGGTCAGTATTCTGAAGTATTTAAGAGTAATGCCATTTCCTCACTCATAGTATTTGATGTACAAAATACAGAAAGAAATCTTTAATGTGGAAAGGGCTGTACTTTGAATTGAAAATGGTGTTGAAATCTGGATTCTTTCACATCTTTCATAGGGATAGGGTCAGTAGAAAGAATATGTAGGGGTTTGATATTAATATTTTATAATATTTAATATATTAACTTTTTATTTTGGTATTTGAACTGTTGTATATTTAGGATACATCTCTAATATCAACAGTAAATTCCCTGTCTTCTCCTTCACCTTTTCTCAAAGTCATTCATGCATTTATACATTGCCAGTTTATTAATATATTTTCATTGGCTGCTCTACTACATTTTTGTTGTTGTTGAAGGCACCTGCCATGATGACTTGCAAGACCTGTACTGAATTCTTAATTCATTTCTAAAGTTCATTGCATACTAGGGCCCTGGCCTGCAATAAATTATATACTTGATGTATCTTTGGGAAGTATGAATTAATTTGCTTGTGCTCCAAGATGACCACAGACCATGTTTAAGAGAGTGCTGAGCTTATGTTAAAATTTGCTGTCTCTTAGCTGGACTTAATTTGTTAAGACTCAGCATTGTGATACTATAAGTTACCTTGCATATGGTTGGCCTAGATGGTAGCAAAGGGAGCTCATATCTTGATTGTAAAATGATATGTAGTTCTGCCCTTTCTCTCCTGAAAAACAAATTTATTCCCTGCTTTGGATAGCTATGTTGCAAGGTATGTGGGGAATTGCTAACTGCTCCTTTTTTCTTGGGAGTTTAGGTGACATTTTGCAGTTTCCAAGAATTGAGGTAATTAAATATTTTAAAGACTGAGGTCTTGAAATTTACTTAAGAGGAAAGAATACAGTGAATGGAAGACAAATTGAAGGTGCTCTTAATAGCATGATATAATTCCCCAGGGGCTAGCAGTTTCATGCGCAGGAAAATTATATTGTTGTTTCTCAGGTAGGAGAGTGAGTGAGAGCGCAAGCAACCTGTTACCAGGGCCAGCCCAATAGATGTGCGAGGAAAGCACACAGCAGTGAGAGGATACGGACTGTTGGGTTGTGTAGGAGTAAAGGTGAACATGACTCAAATATTTCTTCATTGCAAATTACCTTCACTTGACTAATTGTAGATCTGTGTATTGAGAGTGTATTGAGTTAACATTAAAGAAAAATATTTAGAGTGTTTTATCCGGACATAGCAGTGGATAATATAAGCCCTATTAAAAACATGCTTATCCTTATGTACCCAGAAGGAAAAAAAAAAACCATAAAAAAGCAGAAGGTTTTGAAAATAATGAGTAAATTTACAAATTGAATTTATTTGTACCCTAGAGGCTATAGATTCTGAAGCATATACCTCCACGAGTTATAAAGCAGATATTAGTCGCAGAATTATTCATTACTGTTCAGTTCTTTTCCTGAAATGTAACGATGACTACTTTCTGTGAACATACTGCTTTTCTCCTTTTTGCTGTGCTTCACTGGTGGCTGAGTACATCTTTCATGGACAGGAAGATAGGGAGAGGGGTAAGAATCTCAGCATAACACCAGGAAATGGGCTTCCAAATGCCAGCTGTGTTCAGTTAATAGTTTACAGTTCTTTTCAATTATAATTTTCAGTTATGGTTCATATATTCCTGTTTTAATACTAATTATCCATGATAATTCAGTTCCAAATTTTAAATTTTATAAGATTAAAACAACATAAACATCCTAAAACTTAGAACATAAACACTCCAAAACTTAAATGTAGACTTTATTCTGTTTCCACAAATGAACGCAGTAAGATGCTATCTTTCACATGTCAGTAACTATGAAGTTTTAATTATGTAATATGGAAGTAAGAAATTGTCATATACAATATTTAGGGATTCCAAGAATGTTTTAATATCGGTGGCATAAAATTCCCATTATTTGCCACTCTTTCTAAAGTGCTTTAGCAATTTTTTCCCTCATATGTTATATATTAAGCTACTTAATGAGCTGGTGATGAATTATTGAGAAAACTATTGACACAATTCCTGTTTGCACTTTGTCCATCAGGTCCTTGAACCATATTTATTAAAAATTATTGTTTCTGAGTTGGCAAATGTCTTCAAAGCCTATAGAGCTGCTTCAGACATCAAGGAAAGCTTAGCTCTCCTTTTGTCTGCTCAGTTTTTCTAACATAGCTATTAACTACTAATTTTATTATTCAATCAACTAGCTTTCTTTAATATCAGACAATTTGAATTTGTCCATAAGCAAGACATTTTCTTTGTACATTTGTTTGTATTGTCCTGGTATCTACCTTTGTTCAGTAGGTAATTAAAGAGTATTTTCTCCTCCTGTTCTTTGGTGCCTTAATTACTTTCATTGTCAACAGCATGACTGAATTCTGAGACCCCATTTGTTCCTTCTTTTTACGATATCCTCTAGTCTCTGTTTAATTCTTTTCAGTCTATTCTAGAAAGGTTGCCCCCTGTAACTCCTTCAAATGAGGTATAAGCTATCCAAAATCCCGCTTGCAATAGAAAGTGGCCAATGTTTCATGCAACCAGATATCTCAGTAATATTGCCTGCCAAACTACTGGCTTCTTGCTGTATTCTTCTGCTTTTTGGCTTTCTTTGCTCTAAAGGCAGAAAGTGAACCCAATGGGAGTTCACTTGTATGTGCTTATTCTCCAGTACCCTTCTAAATTCCTTTGTTTAATCTGCTTTCTCTAAGGTGTTACAGAGGTATTTGATAAATGAAAATTGGGATCCTTATTCTCTAAACTTACAAGTTAATCCTATTCTAGTCACTTCTGATGTCTTCACTTAAAGAAGACAGATAATTTCTGCTGTCAGGAATCCACAGTGAGGTTTATTTGTTGTATTTGGAGACATAGCTCCAGTGGGAACAGCAGTATTTTACTGAACCCTGAAATAAAATGGAGAAATAGGCTTATTGTTAGCTTTTTAGGATACATTTTTAATGTAGTAGAATAATTCTGCCATGGCCTATGATGAAATTTGCTGGTTCAATAATCTGAAAGAACACAATTCTTACAGTAAAAAATTGTCGACCTATCAATCATCTCTTTAGTGTTCTGTTATCTTTAAATACCATTTTCTGATAGCAACTATCACTTGTGGGGTATGCCATCTTAGACTGTGTGTATGCTAGTGTTTTGATTTCTAACAGTAGCACAGTTCTGCAGTGCATTCCCTGTCTCTTCCACTTACTTTGTAAGTTCAGTTTGCAGAGTGGGTTTCATCTGTGTTCAAACTAGGCTTCAGAGGAAATCTATCCAGAATCTCTACTCTTAGTATTCATTAAGCACTGTCCACCCTCTAATAAGGATGTAAGGTCTAAAGCGGTGATTGGCCCCCTGAACAGCTTCAGACTACATTGTGTAGTTGGAACACTGGATCAGGGGCCAGACATGATCTATTCCTGAATGGTATAGAATCTGTAGATGAAGAAGCCTCAGCACAAAGTGCTTTGAACTGCTGAGCTGTTGCTTTTGCTCCAAATTGCTTTGTAATGTAGGCTTAACCTTAGATACAGAGAAGAAGGTTTTAGCTTCTGTCACTATGGATTCATATTCAGCCCTTCAGTGGTATTTTAGTTGAGTATATAATTAAAAATATTGACAAAATACTTGTGCACACCTTTGCTGTTGGGGATCTTCATTTAAGTAGTCCTTGTATCCTGGACAACACAAAAATAGCAGCAATTTCAGACTGTGCTAATAAAGACTAGAACCCTGGGAAATGGTTATACCATGACAAGCCTCTCTGGGCAGAGTAAATATGTGATTTGAAGCAAGAATATTCGCTGTGGAGGTCAATTGGATTTAAAACTAATATTGTCTTTCATTTTTATCAGAAAAGTCTTCAGTCAGGGAAAATACGTAAGTGGTTTTATTTTTTGTCCAATTGAACTGGCTCAAAGATTGTCCTGTTTTTGTCTGTTTTGATCTGTATGGTACTAGTTTCCCTATTTTATAGTTTCACGAATACCATGGAAGCTACTATTCCTCAGCCCCAAGGACAAACTGAAAATATGTTAGATTATAAAGCATCTGACCTTGGTACATTTTCTGA